TATCGAGGTTCTCGATAGAAACTCCAAGATCGTACACAAAAAGAAAGTTGAATTCACTCTAGAGATTTATGGAAGAGTAAATTCTTTCTGTTTGCATAGATTTTCTTTTAATGTGATAGGATAAAATTTCTCGATTACTAGGTATTTCATCCTTTAAATTTAGTTAGTCTTTATTAAGTCTGATTGAAGTTTTAATGATAAGTATTTGAGTAGCTATTGGCAAAAGTTGTTATCTGTACTTGAAATATTTTTGATAAGCGAAAAAACTTGTATAATTTTTCTGATTTATCATGAGATTTTTTTTGAAAAATTAAAAAAAATTTATTGTTTTAGTTAATAAAATGTGTATAACATAAGAAATTCAATTTTTATTTATTATGCATAGAATGAAATAGAATTAAATAGAATGCACTTGGCTAGTTTTACAGGAGAAAGGATTTTAATTGATTTTGGAGTAAAGTATCTACCATTTTTATTAAATATAACTGATGGATATAATTACATTTATAACAATAGGGATTTAGGGATTTAACTTCCTTTCTCCCTACAGCAATAGAGATTTAACTTCTTTTAGATTTACTTTTTTCCCTTGATTTTATAGGATTTGTAATTGTTTCAGCACATTTTTAAACATTCAATTCGTAACTAAGGGACTAAGAAGGAATCCACAGAAGTTTCAATATCTAATTTATTTATATTTTTCGATATAGCTGCTTTTTCATATCGGTTATTTATTTATTTAAATAGCGTTTTACAATTAAAAATAAATACAACTCTTGCTAGTTCTTATCGGGATACTCGTTAGGTGAAACAATTTTATAGTGACGAAACTGATAGAATAAAAAAAAATCGATAAAGTGCTCTTTTTAGGCTGATCGTATGGGTTCTACGAAAGTGACTTATTATTGGCTTAATGTAAACGCGACGGAAGTTGGCGGAAGAAAGTGCAAATTCTCCGATTTACGCTTTAAGATATAGATCTTCTTCTTGTTTTCAATAAGCAATTATCTGGACAGAATGAGCTCTGCATCAAAAAAAGAACGTGAATTCATAATACGATATTTACCGAGAGATGTATATTTTACTTTCGGCTAAAGTTCCCGCTAAATATTTTCTTCGTAAGAATTTGATACGCCACGATAATAATTTATTTATGATAACTATGCAATACTGCGTTATATTTAACTGACTAGCAGTCGGTGATGGGCGCAAAGTGGTTTGACTGTATTTGGATACATGTGCAGACGTTATGAATTTGAATATGTTTTTATTGTGAAACATTTTAGATATTTTTGCAAATTGTAGCTACTATCGTAAAAGAAACTGATTACGAGAGAATATATTAGACAATATGTAACTTTTACTTCCAATAATATGATATAAATAATTTTGATCAATTTTTTTTATGTATCAATTACATAAATGTGCCGATAGCAACATAACTTTCAGATGTAATCTGTATATTTTTCTATGATATATCTTTCTAGTATTTCTTTTATTTTACACGATTTATTAGAAACATTTAGAAGTAGTTACATGTACAAAAATGCATTCATGCGCATGTATCCGAGGCCCAACACTACAAGTAGCTTAAGCATCGTTGAGCTTGCATCAAGTACGCTTGCAATTTACTGCACATACGCTGCACTTAATTTATCGGAGATTATCTGGAGCAAGACTTGAACCTTTGTGCATAGATATGTGCCGCAAACACAATTTAATTCATCTTTTTCACTATTATTGCAAAGCGCAACGAGCGAAGATTCTTGTGACTGTTGTCATTACTGAACGAATGATGAAGTTTTATAGAGGCTACCTCCATATTTCATTATTCGTCATAAATAGCTTTTATGTTATTCTTTAAGTTTATATCATTACGAGAGCACAAAGAAATTTTAAGATGGATATTCAAAAGAGTTAGTGCAAATCGTAATATTTGCGAAGATGGATAGTATTATATGTTGCCGTCCATTTTTTAACATGATAGAGTGATTTAATTTATTTTGACTTTCACTGATGTTAAAACGAAATGTTTTAACACATGTGTACCGATCCAACGCGATTCATTGTTAATTTAAATTTTTACAGATATAGCTCTAAAAAAGACTATCATTTTGTGTGACGTAAATCGAAAAATTTATATTACGACGTATAATTTTTTTATTTCCACGTGAATTAATAGAATGAATAATTAATTTAATTCTAAACTAAAACGATTTTAAAATATTTGAATCGAGCATTTGTCTTTAAAAAAGCATTGATTACATCACTGACTTAATTGTCTCAATCCCATTTGTTATTCGATTATTCGCGACAGAAAATATAGTTTTTGTTTCATATTCTAAAAATCTATCCCAAAAAAATGCACAAATGGTTATCTCGAAGAAAGCTTGCGAAGGATCGCGCGGCACTGTTGAGTCGCATCACGTATAAACCCTATACATGTATACAACGTGCGTTAATTTCGTTAGCGACAGGTGCATCAAGTAGCCATAGATTTGTAATCAAGTGTGCTTTCCACCTCGTCCCCGCGTTTTTGCGACACGCAGACAACATGAGAATCTCAGTGTTTTATCGCAATGTCAACGGGGCTGTCCCTCGTTGCTCGATTGACGTGGGTCTCTCGCAGTTGTCGCAAAATACGATACTAAGCATAATCCTACTATAATAGCGATGTTCCTATCTTACGTTCGTGTTTTTGTACGTGTTTCGATCGCGAAAAGAAAAAAAAGGAGATTATCCCGCGAACCTTCTCGGCTACGAAAAACAAGTTCTCGTTGAATAATCGCGAGACTTTCTGTCTGGTTTAGCGCAATATCCCATCGTAGCGACTCGTTCTGTACCCAAAATTTTGTCAAACGATAACATTTGAATAAAGTAATTCACATTTGTACGGAATATGCATTGCGTTATTTTTACGAGATTGTGTAGAAAAGAAAGATTAAATACATTGCAATGAATCAACCTTGAACATCATACACATGCACTGAAAAAAGATTTACTAAATGTTCATAAATATTGGTTTGAATAGTACTAACTGAACATTTATTTACATTAAATAAATATTTACCAAATTAAAAAAAAATAACAAATAAATGATTCGTATACCAAATAAATATATATTTACATTCAGTAAATATTTAGTTAGTACTATTAAAAATATTCATTAAAAGTTAATAAATTTTTTCCAATATAACTTTACACATAATATATATATATCTTTATATTTTTTCTAAATATATAGTACAAAATACATGAGTAAACATATTATTAGAAATGTCGGAATATTCACCGACATAAATGGACAAGTTCGAAATAGTACAACGTTAAGATGCAACATCGGCGATGTTCGGAGAAAATGATATTCTAGAGTATCCTAACTGAGAGAGAGAGAGAGAGAGAGAGAGAGAGAGAGAGAGAGAAAGAGAGAGAAACTTCAATTTAGGAGATTCGAGTTGCAAGCATCACCTCAAGATATTGCGATATCGTAATTGTCTGACACTCGGGGATTCAAATTTAGACCGTGGATCTCCGATCTTAGCAGCAAGATCGGCGAGAAACGAGAGAAGATGTTAAGGGAGAGGAAAGAAATAAAAAGAGAAAGAAAAAAAGATGAATAGAGGAGGCGGAGGTGTTGGTGGAAGATGGACGCGGATGGACAGACGAACTAATCTAGATTGGTCGGCTGGTGTGTTGCAGTCACCGGTTTCAATACGGAAGCAGTGGGACCATCGCCATTGGCATCGATAGTGATATCGAGTGTTACCGGCGCCGTGGAGCCGGTCTGTACCTGGGATACCCCGCGGCCTTGCCCGCGCTGTGGCCGCTTCTACAGCAACAATAGTAATCTACGGAGACATCTCAGATCAGCCCACGCGACTGCCCCCGACCTCCTCGAGCTGACATCGCTACAACGGAAAACCCTGGTGTTGCCGCCGCAGCTGATCTCCGACATTCCTCCCTCCTTCGTTATAGGACCGTAGCGTTTGTCGAATTGATAGATCGATCAGGTTGAGATGTTGGAGGTCTTTACCACAGGACCGTTGTTACGACATTCTTGAGACATTGATGTTTGTAATGTTAAACGGACTTAGTTAACCGATGAGTTCTCTCAACGCCGAAGATGGATCGTCAGGGCATTATTGCCAGATATTGGTGCAAACACAATATATAAATATCGATATATAACTACACATTTTTGATGTGAAATTAATGTTTAATAGAGAATTAATGGAAAGGTTGTCTCTTCTTAGTTGAAAATACAAAATATTGCAAAGATAAGCAATGGAACTATTGCAAGATTTTCTTTTCGACAGTTACTAGGTTGCGTGGACTCTATGAAAATTCGATGAAAGTTTGTGATATTTTATTAATTCTTTTTTTATGTACCTCTTCTCTCTTTACCTGCGCAATGGTAAATTTATCGATTAAGAGATTGTTACAGTGACGATATTCAATAACCACAGTATCTTATGAACGTGTTGCTTTAACAGCGGCGAAAGTTCAGTGAAAGTAATTTATTTTGTCTGCAGAAACATTCCTGTGACTCTTTTGAAGTGTCATATAATTATTAAGTTATTATATTTTTTACAGTGCTATATTATATAATTTGAAATATTTTACTGAATTTGATAAGTTAAGAAGATACATTGTCATAAAAGAAATAGACATCCTTTTACATAAAAGAAATAAAGACATCTTCTCGGAGAACATTTATTTTTTAACTTTCTCTCTCTCTCTCTCTCTCTCTCTCTCTCTCTCTCTCTCTTTTCCATACATTATACATATCACGAAAAGGTAGTGTCTCTGAATATTTCTTCATAAACGGTAAGCGTAAAATTGTTTTTTCTAAAACAGTAATTATCGAGTTTGACATTTGGTGTATGTCGCAGAAATAACTACACATAATAAATAGGTTTAGCATTCTCTCTACGAGATTTACGACGATACTCGAAAATCACGAAATTAAACACATGTCCTTTCGCAATTGATGATTACAGCGCGAAGAGTACGTCGTGGTAGGCCACGACTCGGAACCAGAGGTGGCAAACACTCGTCGCCGTCCGTTCACAGAAACTCACCCTCCAGGAGCGACTGGCTTGGACCTTTGGACATGAGGACTACCCCGCCAGCCGCGATGCCTGCCTTCCGTGGATTCGAGGAGTCTTCATCGGATGGCGTGGTCAGTATTGTAAATCTGATGCACTCGTAATCCAGTAAATAATAATAAAATTTAACAGCAACATATGTTACAACTTTGCACTCAACAATACAAATATAACATAATACTTGCTATATATAACAGTTACATTGTTGAGTGTGAAATTATAATATTGATATTATGTTATATTATTAATTAGTATTTACTGGCGACTGTATTGCATTATATACACGCCCATATACGTATTTGATAAAGCAACGTTTTTGTCATTTTTGTTGGTTTAAGTGTCTTCATTTTACCTTCTTTTTTCTATTTTAAAAAATGTGACTAATGTGATAGTAATGTTATACCGTGATCTTATAGAATGTTAATGCTCTTCTCATGTTTCTTGTAGGTCCACTTAGGTGAGGGTATAGCTGTATGCGAGGAACAACTAAGGGCCGTCAAGTGGAGTGACTATCGCAAGTTGACGCGTGGATTAGCCGCGATATTATTCAGCCCGACGGAGTTGGCGACGTGCTCTGTTACTGGTCAACGTTGGAGCCGTGCCGGCACGGCTACCGAACGTCCTGTGAAACCTGCTCTTGACAAGGCTAAGGTTCAAGCTATTATAAGTAAGTGCGCGATGAAATAAGAAAGCAAATGTCAAAGAACATGTCAGAAAATTTTTTTTTCCTGAACGCGCATCAATACAGTTCTTGAAGGATCTTTCTTTTCAAGCATTAACTTTAGTTTAAACTTTAGTTTAACTTTGTTGTTGTAGCTTACGTAACGTCAAGGTTTCCGTCAGTAGACGTCAGCAGCGTGAAACAGGTTTTGGCGTATAAGTGCAAAGAGAACTCCACCGCCCTCAAGATGAAGTCTATACGATACATATGGTAAGCCTCGACGATTCTTTTACCACCGTTCGCATAAGCAGGGTTTTCTTCTACGTTTACACCGCGGCTTATACTCTAAATTTGACTTGAATTATTTACGTCCCATGCTAAATATGCATAAATATGCATAAACACTTGATGAGTGACCTGATTCTCGTCCTTTCGCAGAACTTTCATGTAAAAGTAAAGTCGCACGCTACCTGATCTATAAAGGTTTGACCATCAAATTAACTATCAAATTATTAATTGTCAAACTATCAACATAATCTCAGATTTGCGATTAAAAAAGAAGAGCTAAAGGCTAGTAACCAACGCTGAGACCGCGAAAATACTTCAGGTCGATGTAAACGACATACGATGTAAACGACTGGTGGCTGGACCTATCTTGGGTTTTAGTATAGATCTTTCGTACATAAGTCTATGAATGTAAACGGGATCTATGTGGCCATAAAAAAGGTCCTATCTTCGTATTCCTTTCATATCTAATTGCAGCGATAGACAGGACACGGACACGTCACCGCGGGGTGAGTCTGAGGACAAGTGAGAGGGGGTCCAGGGTGCGTGTAGGGTGCAGCCCGCCCCTCAATTTCGTAGCGTCCTCCCGCACCCTCCATCTGATATGGTCCACTCGTCGCAGCGCTCCCGGGTCCAGCGAGGCCACAGCGATCATTGTAACAATAATAGTAACAAGCAGTGTGTCGATGGACGTTTACGGCGCAACCACGAGGAAGGGCACAGAGGCAACTCGTCTCTCACGTCATCCACGCAGGCAGGTCTTGAAAAGTTGATGCCTCTGCACACGCTTCACGGCGTATTTCATTCCACCCTACGAACGGCGACGGCTTCATATATTTAATTGTTGGTTTAGCCAGCTGCATCGATCGAAATCTAATCCTAGAAGGGTAGAAAAAGAAGCGGAAATATTACGGATCGTTTCGATATACGGTCTAAACGTTAAATATTCAACGTTCATTAACTTTTCTTTATCTCTTTTTTTTTTTGCCGTGAACATTTCCAGATTTTCATGGTAGGAACGATCGACTTTTTTCTCGCACGTTCTAAAAAGAAAGAGATTAACATGCTTATAAATATAAAAGATACACCGGAAACGCAGTTTGTGAAGCACAAGCACGGTAGATAAATACATTGAATAGAGTGTTTGATAAGTTCGTAAAATAGTAGAAATGCGTTGTTTTGAGAGTAGAAAAGTTAAGGGTGGAAATGAGTGATTCATCGATTATATCGTAGCAAAATTAATCGTATTATATGGGATCTTAAATTGTTTGGTACTCCGAATATACACGAGTATACAGAGTATATCATTTTTGGAAGCTGCTGGTTGCTTCGTAGTGATTAAAATTATTCATATTTACAAATCGCTACTAACAGCTTTAGAAAATTTGATATACTTGAGTAGAATAAAAAAAAGAAACGTCAAATATCGGGCTTACTTAGGGTATACATTCAAATGTCCGTATCGCGAATTTATCGGGGCGAAGCATTATCCCTATCGTGAACTTTTTCCTTAGTTTCTATTTTCATTTTAACGACGACAACGTCACAGTGTGCTATGCTTTTTACTCGTTTTTTTTCACTCTTTAACGTGAACATTTGTAAAATGGAAATAGTGAAAGAGCAGCGCAAGAGGAGAAACGTTCATTTCATGGGCATTCATCTGGTTCGCAATACGGACATCTGATTGTAAATGAAGAATTTAAAAAGAAAAACGAGTTAACGAGTTAACGAGACACGATGAAGGATTATTACATGGCTGCGTTTTTGCCGGAAAAAAAATCGTCCCTTCGTGTGTGCGCGTTTCTCTTGTTAACAGGTAAGTCTATCTGGTACGCAATACGTTTCTTTTCCGTGCAATAATACGGTTCCTTCATGCGACACGTAAAAAAAAAAAAAAGAGAGACGGAAGAGCACAGCTGTAAGGGCGAATTACGAAATGCACGAAAGGGCGGTTCTGTGCAAGAGGATATGTATACTAGGAAGATTCATTTGGTTTTGGCTGTGAGCTGCGACCACATGCGAAGGAGGAGATCCGTGTGGCTCTAATGAAAGAGAACGCACCCTTCCAGAGTGAAGGCGGGTGATAAATAGTGAGAAGGCAATATTATAAAGAAAAAAAAAAGAATAAGAAATGTTATTAAAAAATAGCATGGTCGGACGGACCAGTCCGATCCTACCGGGATACAAGGGTAGACTTTCACATAGAGTACGCCTAATATATAAATACATAGTATAAATGTATAAATACAAAATAATATAAATATATTAT